TGGTCAAATTGGTGATGTTCTACATCCTTAATCTCTTGGCACACTTCCTAGTTTATTTTGTAAGGTTGCAATACATCATCAAAATTGAGAATCAATGGTCAAATTGGTGATGTTCTATATCCTTAATGTCTTGGCACAATTCTCGTGACCACTGAAGATGTTCTATGCTGCTTAGTCCTTGAGGATTTATCTTATTGCAATAATTGCCCATTATACACTAAAGATGGTGTTGGTTTGACAAAAGGTTTCCAAAATTCTCCATTGCTAATTCTTGAATTACATAGTGAAGTCTATAACTTTATGTGAACTTCTAAATAGTGAAGTCAAATTTCTTCTTGTTGTTTCTTTTTGGTTTAATCTATGCTAGGATAAAGATTATGTTAATCATATTCATTTTTCAAATTCTTTGGTTTATTCATTAATCTAATTGGATTGGGTGACTATTTTCTTATCTATTTATTTGTGCAAATTACGAATTGGCATCAATATTAATTTTTGACAATTTCTTTTGAAACATTTTTATTTTTTTTATTTCAAGTTAAACTGCATTAAATTTTCAAGTCACATGTATATGTTTTTGCAGGTTTTGTTGAGGGAGTAGTTGATATAATCAAGCGGTAATGTTTGGGAGCCAAACTAAGATTATGTTGCTCTTTCTTCTTTTTTTTCATTTTTATTTTTATTTTTATTTTTTATTTTTTTATTTTTTTTTGAGATCTTGAATCTTTTAGTACAATATATTTTAAGGATGGTTGATGGATATTTGTTTTGCATGTATGAAAGTTTATATTTTGTTTGCACACTTATATGTGAATAGGAAATATTTCTATTATAAGTTTAAATTAATTTGTTATTTTTGTTATTTTTATTAAAAAAATTGTTAGGTGCTTGCAATTTTTTTTTTTTTTTTTTTATCGCGAAGGAAAAAATCAGCACAAGTCCCAAATACAGAAAAGATCTCAAGTCCCTTGTGTTTCTTTTTGGGGGTTTGAATGAATGAATGCTGTGTGTAAAACTTGTACACTACTCCTCCCAAGTCCCAATCTCTCTCTCTCTCTCTCTCTCACTCTTTCTCTCTCTCCTATTATGTGCATCAAAATCAGAGAAGGAGAGTGAGCTTCTCCAATACCAGCAGAGAGAGAAAGAAAGAACGAAAAAGAAAAGAAAAAAAAAAGGTGCAAAATTTTGTTCATCATCGTCATCTAGATCTGCAAAATTTTGATGTTTGTTGAACCCAGCAGACGCCTCTTCGTCGTTCTCTTCTTCTTTCTTCTTCCCCTTCTCTGGTTCTGTTTTGTTTTATTTTTATTTTATTTTATTTTTTTTGAAATTTTGCCCCAAAACGACGTCGTTTTGGGACATGGTAGGAAAGCATGGCAGAAAAGTATGGCAGAGGATCCGGACTCTACATTAGCATCCCTAATTTGCGATTACATGGACCATTGCAAAAGATCTTTTGTGAATGTATTTTCATCATTTACGATGGCTTGTGGTGATCACAAAAAACTTTTTTTTTTTAGTAGTGAACTCTAAAGTAGCATTTGCTTACAATACTATCTTGCGAAAAACAAACCATTTTACAGTTTTTTAAAAAAAATATTTTTGACAAAAGTTGGTTTTTGAAGCAGTATGTCATTATAGAAAAAACAAAAATGCCTTTTTAATTTTTTTTTAATTGGTATATTAAAGCGAGGGAAGTTGTAAGAGTTATTTAGGGCTTTTATATCCTTCTTGCTATCAGTAAGCACCAAAATTCTAACTATGTGGGTTGGAGGGCATACCACTACTGTGGCACAAGGCCAATGACAGTATGATTTAATTCAACAAGTAGAAAATAGTCATTATTTTATATTTATATTTCATGTTTATACAGGGGCGGAGTCAGGATTCCTCCTGTGAGGGGGCCAAATCATCAAAGAGAAAGCATAGGATAAATCTACTGAGCTGTCGATAAATCCATTTGGAGTTTTATTTGATTAAATCATTATTAAATATTACGCAATAGAGGCTAATTGGACCAATAAAATTATGAGTGATTAGTCTTAATTAAATATTATTTGTATGAATTTTATGGTTAAGGAAGTCAAATGTAAAAATTTATAAATAATCGGTAAGGTAAAATTTGCTAATAGTTAAAAAAATCTCAATATAATTAATCTATTATACAATATCTTTAGGTACATAACGTTTTACAAGTGATTCCATTAAATAAATTATATTCCTTTTAACATGGGCCGGATTAAAAATTTTCAATAATGTTAGAATGATCGTCTTTTTTTTTCTTATTACAATTTGTTTATTTCCTTAACTACTCATATTTGATACAAATATAGCATTTGATTTGTTGACAAATGAGAGGATAACCAATACATAATACAAAAATATGATCGCAATAATATTATTGTAAATGTTTCTTTGACAGGTAATTCTATTACATTGTGGACTTGACAATTTTTTATTTTTTATTTTTTTTTAAAATATTAGATTGAAGTTGAGAGGGCTATTATGTAATATACAAAAACAAAAAACAAAAAAATGACAAAAACATACATATAAAATGAAGATTTTAAAAAAGTTGGAGAGGCCAGAACCCCTGCCTCCTCCCCTGTGTTTTTATATATTGACCTTAGAATTTGGATTGTTTGAATTGCAATAGTCATTGTTGCAAAATTAATTATGTTGATAAAATTTAAAAATTATAGATATTGAACTCAAATTGTCCTGATTGTCCAAATTTCACCACTAGTTGTTAAATGTTGTTATGGTAAAGTCCCATAATTGGTGTAGGACTTTGTTGTGTGGGCAAGATATTGTGTGGGTAAGATATCATGACAGTGTTGATGGTTAATTTAATCAGGTTCATGAATAAGCATGAAGAAATAGGTACCAACATAAATAAGACTCGTTCGGAAGACTTGTTCAGACTGTAGAGACTTAGTTTGGTACGTGTAAGTTGGCTAAAAATACCTTACATAATACCAAAAAAAAAAAACTACACACGAGTCTTCCTGGATGAATGAGAATTAAGAACCTACATAGATTGTACGAAAACACTACTTTTTTTTCTTCTTTATTTTTTCACTTTTGCTCATTAGATTAGATTATACTTGATTAGTGAGAGATTAAAGCTCTAGATTCTCATGAATTGTTTCAATTTGTTAAATTTCTTAAAGAAAACAATATTATACTTCACTCACTTAGGACAAATTTTCCGTGATATGATAGTAACCAATTATTGTCACTCAGATCAATGTTTTACTATGCCAAAAAGACAAATTTTTAGTGATATGATAGTACCCATTTTTGTCCTTCAGGCAAACCTCTTAATAAATAGAATGTGATCGCGCACATTTTGCATTTTTAGATCTTGTACATTTGTGGATCTCACTGTTAGAGATGGGTAGATTTATGTCTTGATTGAGAATTTATATTTTTAAATAAAAAAAAGTAAAAAAATCAGTATAAAAGTTAATTTATTATTTTTATTTTTTTATACATCTTTCTATAAAAATTAAAAAATATATTAAAAAACAATTTCCAAATGACCCCTTAAATAGAATCTCCAGAATTAAATAAAAAACAAAATAAATGCATATGAATGTAAAAATTTACTTGATTTACTTCAAAATTAGGATTACGATGGATACTGTAATTTTTATTGTTATAAAATTATAAGATATAAAGATAGTCGCCGTCCGCTCAACAATAAATAATAAAAATTAAAGTAACATGATATAAGTGCAAAAATAACAAATTAGTTAGTGATTAATATTTATCAAAATTCACAAATCCTAACAAGAGCTTGGTGTAGCGCATTTTTTTCTCCCCTTTGTGTTTACATGTGACTTTTCTTCAAATTTATCAATATAGTACGTTTTTGTGTTTCCCCGTTTTGACACAATGATGTGTCATTTTATGATCTTTTCATTTGAAATTAAGACATTTATTACATTGTTTATAAATCTAAAAATATTATTGTTACATCATTTTAGGTGAGATTTTTATATATTAAATTTTTTTTTTTATAAAAATTCTTAATCAAGTTTGGATGTCGAATTTATAAAATTTAAAAAAAAAAAGATCATGTCCAGAAAATGAACTTTCAATGCTAAAAAATATACTTACATTGAGTATCTGATCAGTTTCACGTGCGGTCAACTGTAGTCTCACCACCTTAGAACACCTAGCTCCCTTAACATCTTCAAACTTCAAATTTGTAGACCTGAGTGAATTGAGTGAGTAACTCAACATGTCCAACCCATGTGCCCAAATAGGCTTCTTAGCCTTCCCACTAGGAATAAGATCTTCAATTCCCAAACTAACCTCCCCTCCACTCACCATTTCCATCTGTGTCCCTCCTCCACCCTCTCCCTCCATCATCAACCCCTTCAGCTCTCTCAGCAACCCCACCGCGGTGGTTAAGTCACATACCACCTATGTTTGGTTTCAATTTTCTGAATTCAGTTTTCTGAAAATTGAGTTTTTTGTTGTTCATTTTTTTTAATGAATATTTTTAATATTTTAAGCTTTTTTTTTTACTTTTTTAGATGCATCTTACTTAAATATATTTAAAAAGTAAAATATTTATGAAAAAATATTTTAAAAAATTAATAAATACACAAAAATACAAAAAATATAGAGATTTTTTGTATTTTTTTATATTTTTGGTATTTAGTGAATTTTTTAAAGATTTTTTTCACAAAAATTATACTTTTTAAGTATATTTATGTTAGGTGTGTCTAAAAATTAAAAACATTAGTTAAAATATTAAAAAAATTAGTAAAAACAAAAAATACGAAAAATAAGAAAGTAAATTTTTTAAAAAAGTGTTTTCAAAAAATTGGAAACAAACATGTTTTAGAACAATTGAGGCATTTCCTTAGACCACAGAATAACTTCTCTTCTTCGACATCCTCTGTCATGACAGGTTATTTCACTTGTCTTTAACCAACCAAGTCCACCCTTCACTTTCTAGAAACATTACAATCACAACCACATTTTCAATGCACCAAAGGACCTAAGAATTGAAAAATATTAAATAATTCCAAAATATCATACAACATTATTTTTGTGGCCAAAAATGAAAAATTACATTTCTCAATTAGATAATAAAGATAGGCTATCATTGTTTCAATTACCAGTAAATAATGTCACATGATATTCTGAAAACGATACTACTGAACAATCAATATTTTAAACATTTTTTCAACTAAGCCAAAAGCCAGAAGTTTTTATGGCGCTTGGTGGTGATCAAATATCCTCCACAATTGCTGCTCTTCCTCCTTACTGCAATTGTCATGCAGCTAGCATTTTGAATGCAGTCTTCCACCACCTTACCCCGGCTCCTTTTCTGGCCGGTGGTCCACATCCGCCGTAGCCGCCTCACCATCGATCTCTTTTTTTGCCCCAAAACTAGCAGTGACGCTTTCTGCTGCTTTGCCTCTTCTACTATTGTTGGACCCTTTTCTTTTCCTTCCACCATTGATGTCTCAACATGAACCTAATTGATCCAATACATCAAATTAATGGAAGCTAAGAACATCTCTAATGGGAGGTAGTAAATACGGATAGCAAACATGGTGAAAAAATGTCACACATAATTCATATAACAAATTCAGTCCGTGTTATTAACATCAAATGAATAAAATGGTGACTTTACAACTTGAATTAAAATGTAAAGAGTTAATTGTCACAATTAGAAATAATAGAATGTAATGAATGTCTCTAATGGATATGGAATTGTTATTTTAAATATAAAAAATATAAAAAAAAAAAAATTAATTTTGTTGTGTTCACCGCCAGAGTGAGTTTTTGATTGATATGGAATTGTTATTTTAAATATAAAAAATATAAAAAAAAAATTAATTTTGTTGTGTTCACCGCCGGAGTGAGTTTTTGATTAACCATATGGCACAACAATTGTACTATGTTGTGTGGTTTGTCGTTTCATTAGGAGATGATCTAATATTCTTTTTTTTTTTTAATATGAAATAAATTAAAATTATTTGCTTCACATAAGCAGAATAAAAAGACAAAAATATTAAGAATAAAATTTATTGATGTATTTCATGTATATTGGATTTTGTTTACATCAATAAAATTTATTTTTTGCTGATTAAAAAAAAAGTTTACTTTTCATGAAAATAGCAAGAATAACAACAAATGAAAATATTTCCGATGACTCTATAGTGTTAACGTGTACAATGTTAAATATTTTTATGTAATTTAATTTTGCGTATTTACTTTCGATCTATGGTTGGCATTAAATTCCTAGATATATATATATATATGCAATGTACTTAAGTCATGTCTTGTTGTTTTATTACAAGTTACTAATCTGCATGTGATGAGTTACTCCATTAGTTGAAACAACAAGTTAATAGAGGTCCAAATTTTCTGAATTTGCAGTGATATAACAAGATTAGAAATGGGGGAAGATGAAATAGTGAAATTGAAATTTTACTAAATTGTACTTACCCCAGGCCTTCTCATTTCACACATATCTTTCATAGAGGAAAGAAGCTCATGGGCCTTTTGGCTATTTGACTCTGCAAATGCAATCAAAAAATATATTTAGCATTATATTGCATCTTTTATTCATTGAATTTATTTTTTATTTGGTAACTAAAGTATATCCAAGGTTATGGTTTATTTGATGCAATTTTTATTAAGTAAGAAGATAATAATTAAAAATCAAAAACTAAAATATCTCTCCTCCAACTTTAAGAAAACTTGTTTCAGTTATTTATGTCTTATATATAAATTATAGATAAAAATTGTACAAAACACTAAACGCCCAAAATAAAAAGAAAAAAGTTATCAATAACCCCTATAACGTACACCAAATTAACAGGGCCTCTGTCCCAATTACTCTAAAGAAATATGCAATTATCATTCCACACACAAGATCTTAGGGTGGTTTAAAAAGGTTCAGACATTTTTGAAAGCTTAAAATTGATTATCAAAAAACAAAAGTCAAAAATGTATTTTTTCTAACTTCCATATATTCAAATTCTTTCAAGTTGTGAAAATTATTTCTACCTAAAGTAAAAAATAAACTAAACATTTTAACACAAACTCTCAAAATACTAAATAAATAAACAATCTTTAAACAATTCATATAAGTTGCACCACACAATCTAGTTAATTAAAGAGAAACTAAGACACACCTTGTTTGGAAGGCTTGGAAACATGAAGAAGGACAATGGTGTCCTGACTTTGAACAGTATGAGAAAGTGCCCATTGAAGAGCACCCTTGGCATCAAGGCCAGAATCAATCACAACCATGACTCTGTTTCCGGCTTCGGACTCCGAATTCAACATGTCACCAACACCACCATTTGGATTGAAGTTCATTTCAATGCTGTTGTTGCTTGAACACCGCTCTGCTTTGTCCTCGGTGTATATTATTGAGCTATAGCTTTGCCTTTGTTGTTGAGTCTGTGTACAGACTCTCACTCGAGCCGTATTGCCACCACGGGATACTACTGAACAATCAATATTTTAACTCCAACCATCTCAGATATCAATCTAGCTTTAGATATATGAAGAAGGAAGACAAGTACATATATATATATATATATAGAGAGAGAGAGAGAGAGAGAGAGTTGGAAGAGGAGAGAGAGGGGGAGGGGAGAATGATAATTAGGTGGTGGGTGTTGATGAGTAAAAAATTCTATGTGATTGAGGATGCCAAAGTTGGATGTGTTGACTTCACAAGTTCTTGGTTGGGAAAAGGTCATGCAAACCACTTTGCTGTTTGTTTCTAATGTTTTTCCATTGATGTGGGGACTCTTCAACGTGCCCACCAGTCTTGGTGCTCAGCCGGACTCAATTAAATACACCCTTCCTCTCCTTGGCAATACAAACTTGTGCCCTTTTTCATACACTAGCGGCAGGTGCAAATGTAATGTGTGTAAATAGGGTAATTATTTAACAATTTTGGAGTATGTATGGACACGTGATATTTTATAATATTGTGATTGGTATGGAAGGTAGGTAAGTAGGTTATTATGTTGGGTGATCAGGAAACATGAGGGGACATTGAATGATTATTAGTTAGGGAGTACAGACTCATGATACTTTAGGAATATTGAATAATTTCCCGTATAAATATATGTAGTTGAAGAGTAAAAAAAAAAAAGATAAATTTTACTTTTTTTTTCTTTTTATGTTTAGCTATTTTTTCTCTTTGGCTCTTGAAGTTTTTGTTTTTCATTTTAGCTTTTCATATTTCAAGTTTTTTCTAATTTATTCCTAAAGTTAATTTGTATATAAAATTAGGCAAAAAAAATGACAAATTAGCACTTGTGGTTTAAAAATATGTTACTATATAACTCACTTCTTATACAAATCTAAACTCTAATAATATTTTTATGTCATATGATAACTAACTGGTATTTTCTGTTTGATTTTGAATAGATATTGATTTTAAGAGTAGATTGAGAAAAATTTAAAAATGAAGAGCCAAAATGGAAAAAAAAAATAAAAAATTCCAAAGCCAAAGTAAGAAATAGCAAACATAAAAGGACAAAATATAATTTATTCTAAAAACGAAAAGTTAAAATTGTGAGATCTGAATCAATTTTCTTTCCTTCACATAGGCAGATTTAAAACTTTTGTGGGCATTTTTGAAAAAAAGTAAAATATATGACATTTTTTTGTTTGAACAAAAAAACATATGACATTGACCCACGCCCGATGATAATAGTATAAATATTCTCCCAGTGATATTTTAGTATGACAAAGTAGACAGGACAATGTTGTTGGGCTCGTGAGGTTCATTATGTACCTTCTTTTGATAATTTAAATCATTTAATGTGTAAAATTTGTTGAGTACTTCATTTTTATAAAAAAATACGTTAATCGGATATCAATAATTCTTTGATCAAGTCATATTTTTTCTTATGGTAAATATGATTTTAAAAATAAATTGTTGACAAAAATATGTTCTGATGAAGAGGTTATCGCTATCCGATCAATGTGATTTTTTTATAAGGATGAAATACTCGACAAGTTTTATACATTGAATAGTTCAGATTATTAAAATAGAACTCGTGATGACCCTTACGAGTCTAATAATACCGTCCAATTCACTTTATCAACCAAAAAGAAGCATGTTCCATATTTTAACACCCCACTTATTTTGCAAAACATGTAATTGAACTAACAAGGTTAGCTTAATTGGCCACTTATGTATACCTATAAGTAAGAAATCAATAATAGTTAAAAGTAAATATTTATTTTTATCTTGAGAATTGTATTAAATTATGTATTTCTACTTATTGTGATTGTTGATTATACTTATTCTTGGGGGTTGGGTGTTCATTTTGGCAATCTTAATATGATAAAAGGGTTAATTAAAATAAAAATGATAGAAGGAGACCCTCAAACCATGCTTCTTTGTCTAGAAATCGTTAGGGATTGAGCGATGTAAAAGAAATTATTGGCTGATACCTTTGTGGTGGTTCAGTGGCCGCCAGGACGGAACAAGAAAAGTTGACTCGAGGGTGCTAAATTATGAATTTTATGTATCTTTTATAGAATTTTTTTGACATGTATTATTTCACTACGAACAATTTTATAAATTTAGTTGACGTGTATAATTTTTATAATTTATTTGTTACTATATGATACTTTTTGTTATGATATTTTTTTTAAGTCTAAAATATTATTCGTAGTACTAAAATATAATATTCATGTGCATTTACGAAATAACAAAATTTTATTATTTTCTTATTATAAAAATGTCCAAATTACTTAAACTTTATACGAAGTATATTACAAATACCAATCCCTTGTAGGTCCGCCCCTATTGGCAGCTCATGATTGTTTAAATTATTGAACTTGTTATATGCTAGTGGGTGGCCATTGGTGATCCATTTTTTTTTTATTTTATATAAATAGATATTCAATTTGTTATAGTTATGATGATATTTATAATTAATCTCTTATTAATTAACAAATAAAATGGGGAAACACTACACCGCACACCCCTATCATAAAAATAAAAAATATATCCGTCATTATAAACAAGCCATGACACTGCGTGCAGACGACGAGGCTCTCATGTGTAGAATATTTCTGAGTAGTTTGGGGCCACTGGCCATCAGATGGTATTATAAATTGGAGCCGGCGTTGATTAAGAGTTTCCATCAACTATAGAAATCCTTCAGGGCAAGATTTATCACCAACGAGGTCCGGCCGAAGCAAGCCGACTCTCTCTGGGCAATGCAGATCCAGCCAGGAGAAACCTTATGAGCATATTCGGCGCTATTGGGAATGCTTTAATCTTGTCGATGATGCTTGCAACGACTCAATGGCCATTACCGCCTTTAAAATGGGTTTGCATCCTGATAGTGCTCTCTGCAGTTCCTTGACTAAAAGACCCCCCAAAACAGTCTGGTCGTTGATGAAGAAAGTTGAGGAATACTGCAAAGTGGAAGATGACGCCTTGCGGGTTAAAGCCAGAAACATGGCCAACAAGACGGCCCCTTCTGAAATTGCTCAGCCATTAAATTATGTACCACCTCAGAGCCCTGAACCACGACATCGGGCTAAACGAGACAAGAGATAGGATTCTCGCCGATCAAGCGACCAATGCTCCCACTGAGCAAATGAACAACTGCAAGTCGATAGCAGGCGCACAAGGTGCGCAGACAAGAAATATACGGAGTTTTCAAAGCCGATCAGCGCGGTTATGTCCAAAGTCCAACACCTTCCATTTTTCAAATGGCCGTCCAAAATGGTGGGACCTCCCGACACGAGAAGACGGGGTAGGCGGTGCGAGTATCACAAGGATCATGGCCATGATACTGAGAGTTGTTATGCATTGAAGGATCGCTTGGAGGAATTGGTACAAGATGGTCGGCTACAACAGTACGTCCGAAAAGGCAACTCAACCAAAGCAATAGCCTTAAGATAGGATTCACCTCCACTTAGCGTGATCCACATGATATATAGCCTGCCAATGTCATCCGCGGTGCATATGATTCAGTCGAATCCCGACCCTCAAAATCAACTCTCTCCGGCTAAACGACCCCATGAAACTACGAGCATTGCTTTCGATGATTCAAATTTGGCCGAAGTGACACTTCCCCACATCGATCCCTTGGTAATCGAGTTACGCGTAAACTAATTCACCATTGAGCGCGTACTCATTGATTCGGGGAGTACATCGGAAGTTATGTATTACAAGACATTCACTAAACTCGGTTTCTCTGAATCGGATCTTTCTTCGGCTCCTTATCGACTATTTGGCTTCAACACCAATCCAGAATACCCGTTGGGGAAAATCACACTACCTGTTCGAGCAGGCTCCCGAACAGTGGATGTGGAATTCTTGGTGTAGACCGCCAAACTCTGCTTTGCGTGCGAGGGCGTGAATTGTGTTCATAGCTACTATAGTTTGGACTCCTATCGCGGTTCTAAATCTAATCTCACAAAGTGCAATGTAAGACTGATAAATCACCAAAGAGTCCAAATCCGACAAATCGTTTTGGAAAATCGATTTTAATCAAAAAGCGCCAAACATGGACTGCTTTGCCAGATTTCAAAGTCACCACCTAAATATTTTGTTTTGGAGAATTTAGGAAACCCTGACTCATACCTAAGGCCACGTGTCCATCATCACCAAAGTTGCATCGGCTCGGAAACTTGGGTACGAGAGGGGAAGGTCTTGAAATGAGCACCCCCTCTCTCCCGATCAAAGATCGGCCTCTACTGACATGATATGTTGTTCTTGAAAACACATGTGATCTTATTCTGGTTTATTAGCTAGCTTACTATGTGATGCGCACAGCATACAAGTATAAACTAAATTGCTCGATTTGGAACAAAACATCTTATGTTTGTTTTTCGAAAATGACTTGAAGTTGCTACCCTCAAGTAGGCTAAAATGCGGATTTGCCACCCTCAAGTGGGCTCAAAAAACAACATGATTTTGCCACACCAAGTGGGCTTAAAAAGCACATTTTGATGAATTGTTCCAATTCAAGCAATAAAGCCTTCATCCACAGGCATTAATGCATTTTAAACACTTAAGCAGTTAGCCTCAGGGCAAGCATGCTATCATGGCAATCACTCACACACATGCAAGGATGCTAAAGCATAAACACTCACAGTGTACTCTGAGCCAAAACAGAAGCTAGTTAGTAATCAATGCATGATTCTAGCAATATCAACAATGCCTAATGCAACACATGCAAAATGCAACTAAAATAGGCTCAGCTATCTAGAATGGCATATGAATGCAACACTTGATAACATGTTTTGAAACACGTATTCAAGAAAGTGTATTGAAATACAATGCAGCTTGAATGATGCGCCGAGTCCAGTGCATGCAAGACAAATGAATGATGCACACATACAAGCATAAGGATGCTAATTGAAATATGTTCTAAAACTAACCATCGAAAGCGGTTAAGTAAAAGGGAGAAAGAAATGGGGGTTGGAAGACATGCATCACACACACGC